CACCAAGATCTCGCTGAAACTTATAGGGATCTTGGTGCCTGCCACGACCACACATACGACGGCCATGGTCCTTACCATCATTTGTATTCCATAGCATCCCACGTCCCGTCGCGAGCGCACGACCATGCGCGTTAGCTCGCCCCAAGCTCCAACATCGTAGATATCATCACAGTCGTCACACGAGTCGGTCGTTGCTTCGTCGCGCGATGCAATGTTGTCAGCTTGGCCTTTCTCGCCTTGTTGACATACGTGCTGTCGACGTTGTGATCTCGCGGCTTAACCACGGCCGTCGGAGATGGTCAGCATCGTCAGTCCAGTGCACCAGAGTGTGCAAGCGGCTCACGCAGCAGAATCACGCGGCAGTACCGTTGTTGCATCTTATTTTCTAGAGTATTTTCGATCACCCTACCCATGCTGCCACGATCATCTTGCTGAACAGACCGCGCTCCGAAGCTCCGCGCCTGCACCAGCTGCCTGCGCCTCGTTCATCATTGGGTGAGCCGGGAACGATCGCGTCTTTTGCAAATGCCTGCAAATGCACCTCAGCCTCGTTCATTTCGCACGACATGAGTGGCCGCGTCGACATCGTGTTCCGCGGATGACCCTCTGTCTCCGTGGGCCACGCCCTTCACCTGCAAGGAAAGTCGATGTTGGTCGTCGCACCAGCCAGCACCACGAGCCCGTTGAGCGCGGCCGCCAAGTACGATGGTTTCAACATGCACACAATCATATTCAAGTTAATGCAAACTGGCGCAACATGCAGACGATATCTTCCATTTTTGGGCCACGAGCGTTTTACCAAGTGACTGTGGGCACGGACGCGGCGATTGCGCCGACCTTGCTCGAGCGAACGCCGGTCGCCGACTTGAGGTAGCAGACGCCGTCGAACAAGACGTATGCGTTGCACTGGCTGTTCTTCTTGCACGTCTCGCAGCACTGACCAATCATCGTGTTCACGTCGCCCGTCGCCTTGAAATTGGCAATGTCGTTGCCGTAGTAGTCGTAGTTGACTTCGGGGTTGCTGCAGTAGCGGACGCTCGTGCCCGGCACCGGCGGCACGATCACGGACGTCGCGCCGTTGACAGTCCGGGGCGAGAGCGCGACGGTCTTGAGGTAGCAGACGTTGTTGGCAAGCGTATAGGCGCTGCAGGTAGCAACCGCCTTGCAGCCGTCACAGCACTGCTTGAGCATGTTGCCAAAGTCGCCAGTCGCAACAAAGTTGGAGATGTCGTTGCCGTAGTAGTCGGTGTTCCAGATCGGAGCGCCGCAGGTGCGGTTGCCAGCCGGAGTCGGCGTCGGTGTAGGCGTCGATGTCACATATGTCGTCTTGGCCGAGACGACGCCTGGCGCCGCCTTGCGCCCAGCGTCCGACGCCTTGAGGTAGCACACGCCGTTGGCCACCGAGAACGCCGTGCACCATCGCGTCGTACTGCACGCGTTGCAGCACGCTTGGAGCTGGTCGGCTTGGTTGCCCGACACCGCCACATTGGAAATGTCGTTGCCGTAGTAGTCGACGTTAATCTCAGGCGCACTGCACGTACTCACCGGCGCCGACGTGCCCGACATGAGCACGGACGTCGCGCCAGTCTTGGGCTTGCGGGTGCCTGCACCCGACTTGAGGTAGCAGACGTTGTCGGCGAGCGTGTAGGCGACGCACGTGTTGCTGGCCGTGCACGCGTCGCAGCACTGCTTGAGCATGTTGCCAAAGTCGCCGGTGGTGCCAAAGTTGGAGATGTCGCTGCCGGCAAAGTCCGTGTTCCACTCGGGCGACCCGCAGGTCCGAGCGTAGGTTGTGGTCATGGCCATCATGGCCAAAAGCGCAGTCGTCGTGAGCAGCTGCATGGTGGTAGTGGTGGTGCTGATGGAGTTGCGAGCAAATCGGAAAATGAACAACGACCAAGTCGATGATGGCCCATAGTATCGTCCCCGTGGGTTTAAAGCGTGGGTTGACGGGACGACCAGGTTGGAATGGCTTAGAAACGCTCCGAAGAGTAGCTTGGCGATGATTTTTGAGCCCCCAATCGCAAACGTTTGGGAGGCTTTGCTAGCATGTATGGACAGCTCCTTGCAGCTGTGCAGCCGTGATCCCTAGTCGCTTTACTCGCTGGAGCCGAAAGCATTCCGATCTATGATCTGTGATTGGCGAAATTATTATCTTGGACGCGATTTGATTGGCCAGCTTTGTCGCACGCATTTGGTGATGCGGCGCGTGACCATATGATATGCAAATGCTGCCACGTCATAGCAGGTTGGCCGCATCCATGGCGCCATCGCGTCGTGCATTGTGCGATAGTAAATGCAGTAGCTGGATCTCCTTGCAGTAGCTTCGGCCTCGTTGAAGTACGGCGTTGGATTCTCTGGCGTGTTTTTTTCTTGCGAACGCGAAACCATTCCCACCCTCAAATCCAAGAAATAAGAAATGGCCGCCACAACGTCCATGGACTTGAGCGTTTTTGGTTTCGATAGCATTCTATGGCCAAAGTTCTTATCGCTCGACTAACTACTAGTGTTCCTTGCGTCGACGTGCGAGATTTGCATGGACCTCGTTGATGCCGATGGGCAAAGTAGCAGGCCGGCGAATATTTGGACAAGCGTCGCGAGATCTTGTACAACCCACTGCCGACGACGGCGGCACAAGTGAGCGATTGTGTAAGCACACCAAACTGAAATTTTGTCGTCCGGCAATGCCATGCGGTCCATTCCAACGATTCGTGTTCTCGATCGCGGCCACTGAAACCATCGACGAAAGGCTACTCGAGGTGCAGTGATATGCGGAGCTTTTCTGAAGCGAGCCGAGTAAAACCCGCGTCTTTCTGCCTCCTAAAGCGCGACAAGCGATCTAATACATTTTGCATGGAGAGCAGTGTCGGTTCGTCCTGCATGACGCCGACGTGAACGCGGTATTATCTGCTCGGCGCTGGTTGAAGTGGCACACACAGACGAGGTCGGGCCAATGATTTCGAAAATGCGATGGCACCCATGCTTCGGCGGAGAAGCTTGGCGCGCGTCAGTACTGGTCAGGGTTAATTGCGATCCCTGCGTCGTCGACGTTGGCGCAACCTCACCCATTCCACAGCCAGTGTCCTGTACTTAGGTACTCGATATATTCTCTGCAGCATTCGATCGACGGCTCGAGCTAGCTGCCTTTTACGATTTAGTCCGATAACTAGATCGCTGGACACGGGAGGTTGAGTCACAGGTGGTGTCACGTGCGGCTGCTTGGAATGAACTACATCGCTTTTGCCGCATTTGGGGACGTGCTGAGGAGCACGATAAATGCATCAAGGCGCGTGGCTATGGGCGTAAACACGTTGGGATCGTAGTACAAGGCGACGGCGCCGATCGCCTACATTCACCATCGACATGCAAAACATAGCAATAGATTCGACGCACCTCGGTGAATTCGGTAAACGTCAACTAGATCATAGACAATTTGTCCACTTTCTGTTGCAAAACGGAAAAATGGCGTACCTCGAGCGCGCTGTTGTGGCTCGGCGCTTCCCCGCCATCGAGACCATCGTCGTCTTGTTGGATTTTGGAAAATATATTTTGAACGTCGCTGATCGAGAGGACGTTGGGCAGCAGCTGGAATTCCTAATCATATTCCACTATGTCATTGTGCATAAATGTATCCATGGACAACCTCAAGAAAAACGACAAAGTCATCCGCACTTAGCGTCGCCGACGTCGAGGCGTACTGCTTGTAGAGCCGCGCGAGCAGCGTCTGGTGCATTTGAAACACCGCCTTGCACGCGCTTCCGTTCATCTCGTTCCGGAAGCCGTCCATGCTCGCGCGGCACGCATTGACCAGCACAAAGTCGGACAAACATCGCTTCACGCGCTGGCTCAACGGCGTCGCTACCCGTCGTCGGATTTTTCACATTTTCATCAAATAAATAAGACAAGTTGTACATTTGGTTCCGAGCCGGCGCTCGGCCACGCACACGAGGGCGTGGATGAATTCGCTCGCGTTAAATTCCATGTCGGGGTTGAACGGGTCCTATATGTTCGCGTCAAACTTCATCCACAACCATTTGACGCAATCATGTATACGAGCTCCGTGTTGGCGTCGCCCTCGTTGATATCATGAAAGATCTTCTTGACATACGCTAATCGAAAAGTTGAATTATTGCACTGGGCACGTTGCAGCGATATCAGTGATCGTACCGAGCGTTAGCGACTTGGAGATGAGTTTGCAATCTTTGAGAAACCCATAAAATTCATCCAGAGACATGCTTCCGGCGTCCCCCACGTCGCTCGCGGCGTAATATTCGAAAATACGCTGGAGATCCTCTACATTTTGTCTAGTGCAAACGAAACCATGTCAAAGTACCGTAATGTTCGCCCAAAACGGCTTCGATTTTTGGCGCTTCGGTGGCCACGTCCGACTGCAAAATCGCATTCAGCGTCTCTTTTTTAATCGTCGAATACGTCGCCCGTTCGCGGGCTTCGCGCCGATTGGCCATGACGAACGGCGCGTCACCGTGCACGCGGACAAGAAGCACGTCAATGGCCTTGGTGTGGATGCGCTTGGACAGTGCCGTGTACAGCTGCTGGTTGGCCGCGCGTGTCGAGCAGGCTAGCATCGTTTTGAATATAGTTTTGTGGGGAATATTGTCATTTATCATGAGTCTCACCGTACTGCACCATTTGCACTGCGTTTTGCAGCGCATTGTTGGCGGCGACGATCGCGGCGACGTTGGTCGTATCGGGAGTAAACCCCACGAGCATCGACGTGTCAAACGGTTTTTTGAGCTCGCGCCATCCCTAGCCAATCAAACATCGTTGGAATATGGTCAATATTGTCTTATGCATGGCCTACGCTGCGCACAATGTCCCACGCGGCCGTGGCTTCGTCCAAGGACGCACTCGCTTCCTGCCACGGGCACACGGGGGGACGCAAGCTCGCAGGCACTTCGCAAAAGAGGTAGCTCAATATGCAATACAAAATATCGCTGGGAACAATGCCCTACACCATTGCAGGTTAACATCAAGTACCCGCATTTGGTCCTACGTCGGCAGCATGCTCAATGTGCTCCACGAGGTACTCGGGACAGCGCCACGCGCGCAGTTGGTCCAAGACCGAGTCGCTGCAGAGCTCGCTTGTCTCGGGTACCTTACGCCGCAGGACTTTGAGCACTGTGTGGAGTACTTGCAGTCCCTACGAAACAATGACAAAGTTACAAAGTGAAACATGAAACATGAAAAATGTACCTTCATGTCGGTGGTAAAATTTTGAACGCGAGAAAGCTCAATCTCGATCTCCGCTGCCGATTTGGCATTCGTCGACATGGGTACTTTGGCAAGGAATTGGATTTGTTCGTGGACCAAGCGGCTCGTCCATTTGAGCACAATGGTGTCTTCGGGGGCTTTTACCAAGTCGACGCGATCGTCGCGCGGACGTAGTAAGCACGTTGGGTCGGCAAAGGTCTCGTACGGCACAGCACCCAGCATGTTGGTCAAATGCAGCAGTTGGGCGTCGACCTACAGCAGTCTCGGATGCCAGCCTTTCGTAGCATGACGAGGGTACCAAGCCGAGGCAGAGACGGCCCCACTCGTTCGAGAGTTCTTGCAGCTGTCGTTCGTGGCTGCTGAGCACTCTCTCCATCACTACACATGATGTCAAACACTTTTTTGTGCATCGAAGACAATGTGTCCACAATTCGCAACGACGTACAGGACGAGAAGGTCGCTTGGAGCTCCGATTGTGTGAGCGTATGCTTTTGGATCGACTGCTTGAGCACTTGAATTTCGTCTCGAACCGTGCGGATCGCCAGCTCGAGCTTGAACTGGAGGTCCTTGCAATCGCCCGCGCTCTCGGTGAGGGTCGAGAGCCGGCGGCGCGCGTCCATTTGCTTTTCCGAGACGATGACCTGGCGCCACATGCGCACGACCAGCGTTAAATGTCTAATGCTCGATTGAGAATGGTCAAGTTGTCATACAAAATTGAGGTGATATCACCGTTTTTTCCAGCGGCCCATGGCTTTTTGCATCGACGACCGCACTTTGCGCTTGTCAGCGACCACTTTGTGCCAATTGTGAAAGGCCTACGGAAACAGAAATGACCGAAACGGTGACAGACAATGGACAGATCGTCATTGTTTCGACCTGCAACAGAATCGTCCGCGCCCAGCGTTCCGAGACGCGCTCCAAAACCGACTCCTTGGTCGCGAGCTGGTCCATCATAAAGCTGTGCTTGCGATCGAGAATCGAGCTACACGACCACAAAAAGGTTTAGAACGTGGACAAATATTCGCAAAAATACAAAAAAAACATGAAAAATGTACAACATGAACACAAAACAGTACATGTCGTCGTCGATCTGGGCTTGCTCGATGCGCTTGTCTTGCAGCTCGACAAAATAGGGCTGGAGCCCGAAAAAATCTGCCATCGTCACGGCACCTCCGGCGTCAATTTTTGCTCGGACCGCGCTCGGGTCCAAGTACACGCTCTGCTCGCACTCGCGCAGAATGGCGCGCAAGAGGTCTTTATAGCGCTCAAAATGCGTCGACACATTTTCTACACAAATCATCAGATATCCGTGGATTAGTACCAACGACACACCGAGAAGCTCAAAGCAAATGGCCGTCCGTAGTCCGTTGGGAACACCGAGGTGGTCGGACGCGCGCAGCGCGTGCTCGAGTTGCACCTTGCTGTACGCAGCTACAACGTTTGAATCAAGATGGGAATGCTATAAAGAGATGGCAACTACCAAAGTTCATGTAGTCGGTCTTTTCCTTTTGGATGCTTTTGACCCAGGCCGTCACGGGCGTCTCCTTGGTCGACGTCACTTCCGGCGACCGGGCGCTGTCGTCCTTCTTGGCCGCCATATCGACGCTTGAAGATCCGGTCGACAGTTCCAAAATCCTATCTGACACCAATCCAACTCGGACGACGAGTCGAGTGTTCATTGTGTCTTTCTTGCGTGTGACAAAGCTGCGAACTAGGGGACGACAGGGTTGTATTCTGGCATCGTATGAAGGAGGCTGTACAATCCATAAAAAGGATATTTGGATCAGACACCGATCTATCCAAGAATCCAAGAATCCAAAAGCGGCCATGATCCGAGTATCCAAACGCAAACCATCCTTCGATCAAAACGGAAACAATGGTGACAAATACCGGGACCACAATCTCGTGAACCACCAAGTCGCGCAACCCAGCCTCTTCTTGCACCATCTTCGCCGCTAGCATCACCTCGACGGTATTCCACGCCAAACCCATCGTCCATTCGTAGAAAAGCCGACAGAGTTCGAAGCACAGGTTGGCAAGTCCAACGATATCCAGGCCGTGTGATCATGATGCCGGCACTGGGTTGTGGTGACCTGAAAATGAGCTCGAACCCGTCAATTCCAGCAAGTACTGACCGACGAGCTGAACCACAGCAACCCTCGTGCATAGCATCCTTCCTGCTCAGCAGGCGCGATATCAGAGCTATTCCTCGATGGTTAAGATTCCATGTCGCCTGACGATCGCATGGGGTTGTTGCCGCGCGCCCCTGCATATCCGTACACATCCGGATAAAAATGCACACTATTTCACACATCCTTGCTCCTGTTGTCCATTCGGCACGATGGCCGCGCACGCCGCGTACGGCAACCGCCCACCAAGACACACATACCTTCCATTCTCTCTCAGCGTGCGCGTATCGTGCGTAGCGCTGGCGCTACCGCGGCGCGTCGGTCCCGAGCTTTCCACGGAAATAGTGTCATAATACCAATCGTCCTCCGTGAGTATTTTTATTGTGCCTGCACATAAAACCATCGAGTAATATAATGCAGCCAAGGTCGCCACTTCGATAGCTTTTACGTTCATATAATAAAAAAGGAGCGTGACATACAATAGCGTTGCTTGCGTGGGACACCACAGGCTTTTTTTTATGACGGACCTTGGTCCCACACCGCGCTTTCCGAGTTGCCACAAAGCCGCCGCCCATGGCCAGCAGCAGCAGCACCACCGAGTACGAGGCCATGGTCGAGGACCTCATCCCGGACGCCCATGCGCCCGGCGCCGTCTGCCTCGAGGACTTCTCGCTCATCCGGGTCATCGGCAAAGGCTCGTTCGGCAAGGTCACGCTTGTGCGCAAGAAGGACAACTCGAAGGTCTTCGCCATGAAGATCCTCAACAAGGCGTTCATTATCAAGCGCAACCAGGTCGAGCACACGCGGACCGAGCGCAAGGTGCTCGCAGTCGTCTCGCACCCGTTCATCGTGAGCCTCCACTACGCGTTCCAGACCAACGACAAGCTCTACTTTGTGCTCGACTATTGCCCCGGCGGCGAGCTCTTCTTCCACCTCACGCGCCTTGGCAAGTTCACCGAGGCCATGGCGCGCTTCTACAGCGCCGAGCTCGTCGTCGCCCTCGAGCATCTCCACTCGCTCGGCGTCGTCTATCGCGATCTCAAGCCCGAAAACATCCTCCTCGACGAGCTCGGCCATGTCAAGCTCGCCGACTTTGGCCTTGCGAAAACCGACGTGACCGACGCAGCCAGCGGCGCCAACTCGCTCGTGGGCACGCCCGAGTACCTCGCGCCCGAAGTCCTCGCGCGCAAGGGCCATGGCACCGCCGTCGACTGGTGGGGCCTTGGCATGGTGCTCTTTGAGATGCTCACTGGCATGCCGCCGTGGTATACGCGGAATCGCCAGGACCTCTACGCCCGCATCCGCGATGCGCCGCTCGAGATCCCGCACTATGTCAGCCACGAAGCGGCGTCGCTCATCCGCGCGCTCTTGCACCGCGATCCGGACAAGCGGCTCGGTGGCCGGAAGGGCCATGGCGCCGCCAACGTCAAGGCGCACCCGTTCTTTGCCAGTGTCGACTGGGACGGCCTCCTCTGGGCCGAGCCGCCGTTCCACCCGAATGCCAAGAAGGACGACGCCGATACCTCCAACTTTGAAAAAGAGTTTACGGAGATGCCCGTGCACACGCCCGTGAGCCTCAACCCCGTCTCGGCGCAAGCGATCCCCAAGAGCATGTTCAACGGCTTCACGTACGAAGCGCCGTCCGTCTCGCTCGGCTCCAACTCGTCGCAGTCCAAAGTCGAAGCCGCGACCGCCCAGCCGTTTATATAATCGATACATACTACACTATTGTCGTCTCATCATCAATGTACATCTTTATATACTGTAGTGCATTTAGCAACGCAAGTGGAGACCTGCGGCCACAAGCGTCGTCGGGCGACGACAGAAGAGCCAGACGAGCCCCCGCGCCGCCACCTGCGCAGCCACGGACCGGCGAGTGAATGAAGATGAAGGAGATTGCTAGTCTCTATGTATGCGAAGTCTTTGTGTAATTATGACGATAACGCGAAGCACGTTCATATATATATTGAAGTGGAGACATAAGAGCGGTGTAGGGACAGCAACGTCGACATGATGGCCACAACAACCTGGTGTCCACACTGCGGCGACGAAGATCCGCGTCAACAACCGTAGACGGCTGCGCTGGTCGACCAGCGAGCGCAGCTTGTCGCTGAAAGACTTGGACGTGGGAGAGGTGATTCAACAATGCCGTGGTTAGCCTGCTAAACTCGTGCGTATTTGCTAACCCTAATCGTCGCCGTACGAGTTGACGGAGCAGGTGCTCAAGCAAGCGTGCAGGCTCGCATGAGCTCCGCCCGCGAGAGGCCGAGAAGCGTACCGCAAATTGCGGGGAGTTCATGGGGCCAGCCACACCGGCACGACGCCGTGGTCGAGTACGAAAGGCCACTCAAAGAGGTCTTCCGTAAACGCCTCACACCGGCGGGTACGTCTGCAGCCAGTAAAACATTGGCGGCCTCGAGCGGTTCGCAGTTGACGTTCTTGAGGAAGATGGCCATCGGGCCCTCATGCCAGGTAAAGAGAATCACACAATTGTCCACCGACAGTGATCGTCGCCCTGTATAAAGCCTCGAGCTACGCAACGTACGTAGCTTCTCCGACGACACATGTCAGTGTACCGCTGGTCGCTCGTCTTCAAACGACAAGGCGGCCTATAACAGCTATGTCATCACGTCCGTTGACACAATATTGGCTTTGAGGAGCGTCCAAGGCGCGCATCAAACCCAAATCGACAACATGCGCCCGAATGAGCCAGTCGTCAAATGAATGCAATGAGTGGCTTTCACTCTATCCAGGACACTTGTGCAGGAATAAAAGCATTCGGGTTAAGCACTAGAGCGTCCTGACTTAAGGACCAGACGGCTGCTTCAAGGGCACCATAAAGCCCATACGGAGACGGCGAGAGCGCTCGTACATGACATAGACCGTGACGAGGTCGCCGTCACCGTCGTCCATGCACGCTTGGAGGGCGCGGTGGAGCCAGAGCACCGTAAAACGCCCTATCACGCTCACGATACCAGGTGGTGCCGTGAGTGTGACCCACACTGGCACCGTGACTTGGCTCGCGTCTTGCCCAATCACGTCAAAGACGTCGTTCGTGAATGACTCGAACGTCACGGCGGGCGGCAGCGTATGCAGCCAATGCGGCAAGTCGGTCGTCGACATGGCATTGAGGCGCGTGAGAAATGCTGTCATCGGCGCCGTGTGCCACGTAAATTGCATGAGGCTGTTGCCATCTTCGTCGAGAGGGTGCAAGTCCTCCAGCACCATCGCGAGCTACCACAGTTTGTCAGATGCTGGGTTCAAAACTCAGAAAACCTCGCGCCACGCCGCGTCAAACGAGGCGCGGCGGTCTTCCTCGACAGTCTCGCTCGGCGGGATATCTGTCGTCGTCATGGTGCTGCGTTGGTGGTAGCAAATTGGAAAGTGAGGACCAAGCACGCAAATGCCCGGCGGTCCGCCCACCGGACGCGGAAGCGCACGAGAGGCTGCCACGTATGGTCGCAAGCCAGCGCGGTATCTTTGACGTGCTTCCATGACGCTGATTGGTCGAGATGCACCAATCAGCGACCAGAATTGCGATTGTCCGCACCAGGTGCTCGACGTTCGCGCGGGTCGAAGGCGGGCAAGAAGTCCTTCTCCGCTCTAGTCTCTTCATGCCCCAACTCGTCCTCGCGATCAACGCTGGTCCGTCCCTACATGGGCGCATGCACTTGGCAGCTATGGTCTATATAAACTGCCTCGAGATCTTAGACCAGCATGACCATTCTACGACTGGTTGCGATCTGCGAATATCAGACACCAGACCTCGAACTCAAGGCCTTCAACGCGCTCTCACCGCAACAAGCAGCTGGCACCATCTGTGCTGCCCCGTCCCTCTGTGGTTTTCGCAGCCGCGGCTGCAAGCCCGTTGAGGGGAGTGGTGCGTCAGCAGCGACAGTACACCAGTAGTATCATTCACCCCGTTCCGAGATGCGCATTGGTGAAAAAGGCGCCAATGAGCAACGCGGCGTCGTGCAACGCGTCATCGTTCGCAGCCTGGTATAGACAGGGCTCAGGATTGAGTGGGGAATGAGGTAGCGGGCCACCAAGGATCGGCGCGTAGGGCGACTTGGCAAGCGAAGGCACCACGGCGCGGCGAGCCAAGTGCCGGATATACAATCGCGTGATAGCAGTGGTGTTGATCGCGAGCGCAGCAGCGGGAAGGGGCCCCGTCAATGTCGAGCGGAACACGCAGTTGTTGCGTTCTAGCCAAAGACTGTACCAAACGCAAGCGCGCAAGATTGGCCAGAGGGCACGGATGGTCTCAGCTGAGAATGACTGCATCGTAGAGAAAGCCACCGACCGACGACGGAAGTTGCAAGGTATCGCGCATCGGGTCAAAAGCGCGCCAGACCGCGCGGATGAATGGGCAGCGCACTAGAAGATGGTCATACGTTTCGCGGGCGGGCGAATCGCAGAGCGGGCAGTGTCGGGCATTCGGGCCGAGGAAGTGAAAGCTGGACCGGACCGCCACAGCTTTCAACGCAACACGGTACACAAAATCGCCGTACCGCGGGAGGACATGAGCGGGTTGCCGTAGTGGGACAAGTGCAGCAGCTCGGCTTGGTTGCTTGTATTGGGCCGTCGCGATGTTCTGTCGTAACATTGTTACGATGTTGTTGTAACACTATTGTCGCGACCGCTGTCGCGACCACTGTCACGACGTTGTTACGACGCTGTTACGACGCTGTTACGACGCTGTTACGACGCTGTTACGACGCTGTTACGACGGTGTCGCGACGTTGTTGTGACGTTGTCGCGACGTTGTTGGAACATTATTGTCGCGACGTTGTTGAAATGAGTTATCAACATGCAATTAATTATCTAGTGAAGATGGTGGACTTCCTAATGCGCTCATGAGGTTTGGCCGGTATGTCAAGCTGAGGGCGCTTGGTCGGGGCTCAGGATTGAGTGGGGAATGAGGTAGCGGGCACACCAAGGATCGGCGCGTAGGGCAGTGCCGTACATATGCGTTGTCGCTCTAGTCTGTCTCTGCCTCCCCAAACGACGGATGACAATGTGTACACTCGACGATCGACGACGGTGATCCCAAGCTCAAAAATCTTTAATCTTT